AGTGATAAGAAACCAGTCAAATCTGTAACACAACAGAAGTTCAGTGCGCATAAACCAAAATTTAAAATGCCAAAAAATGTTTTAAGATAAACCTGGATGAATGTAGTATCAGACTTAACTGATTTAGGTGAAATCAGTTTATTGAACTTCTGTCCCAGATCCCCTCCAGATACAAGTTAACTCACAGTCCCCCAGGATGTTTCACACCACCCCTACAACCTCCCCCACTCTCCCCTCCCCCTGCACCAACACACACACAGGGTCAGCAGGCTAGCCTTGGCCCAAGCTGTCGGCTCCAGCAAAGCAGGGAGGTGTGCTCTAGGCAGCCATGCAGCTGCATTTTCAGAATCAAAAGTGATTGTCTGTCACTTGTTGATTGGTTCAATCTACACAGCCTGCATAGACTAACCTGTGAAGACTGAATCAATTCAGCCTTGGACTTTCTGACTGTCTGTACTTAGCCCTAGTTTATATCTTTCACTATATCTTTTCATATAGTGAAAAACTGCTTAAATGGGGTGGGAGAGTAATTAAAGAAACTTCCATTTGGCTGGAGATTCCCCACTCTGCACTGCTATGGTATAGGGTAAGCACAGCCCCTGTCAGCCCCTATGCAGTCCAGCTGTAGTGGTACAGGAAGTCTCTTTGCCCCCAAGACAGCAGAGACATCAGTAGCAGCAGGCAGTGGAGTGGGGAATGGGAAGGGACATGACTCTGAGCATGGAGAAGAAGGTGGGGTGGGAGAATTCTTACCTTCTTTGAGACTTAAGTCCCTAGCTGTTGCTTGTGTGTGGGGAGGGGGAGTGCGGGGTTTGTAAAATCTTGGATCCATTTCTGGATATACACTGATATCCAGTTCAGGAGACTGAGTCTGAGAACCCTAATTTGAGTGCCCAAGTGTGAAAATTGAGGCAAATAGTTACACATCACTAGCAGCTTTGTTTGCATCAAATGAGTTTCTTCAGAATAATCCTGTCCATTAAGTTATGTGACTATGTGTTTTTATTCCTTTTAAACAATTATCTTACAGTATCATTTTCTGTTTTTTCTTTTTGTCTCTATATCTTGCCTACAGAAATCAGTACGTATATTGTTCTTTTCTTTTTGTGCCTTAACTTTTCTTTTTGTTTTTTTCCTTTGCCAGCAACTGATGCTTCACCACACATTAGAATAGCTTTTGCATGGTGTTCTTTTGGGTGCTGCATTAGACTGGTTAAATATATATTTTTTTAATGCTGCAACAATAGGACTAATGATTTTTGGGTTATTGTATGGTATATTTAAATTGCCACAGGAGCTTTTATTCTCAGCAAGTACCTGATATCTTGTACCAACTAATGGATGAATTTTAGAATATCTTCAATATTCAATTTGGATCAATGTCCACATTTGGACAGCTTCTTTAATGCTATCCACATTTTATGTGATCCCTTCTCATTCCTTGTACATCTAACTTTTTCCCAGGTTACCAACATATATGTACTGTCAATGGGCACTAGCTACCATGCACATCAGAAGCAGGTCAGATATGCTAGGAGATTGACTGAGAAAGCTTTGGGGCTATTGATGAGTTGTATATTGGAAAAGATTCACTAATATTGACAATCAGGACTCATAGTAGAGATGATATCTTTTATTAGACCAACAAGATTTTTACAAAAAAATTTTTTTGCAAAAATCTTGCTGGTCTAATAAAAGATATCATCTCTACTATGAGTACCAATTGCCTTTTCCTCTAGACCAATACAGCTACAACCTGGATACCTCACTGATACAAAAAACTAGAACTCTTGGTTCCAAAATGATACCTTTTATTAGACCAACTGGAAAATGGCAAGAAAATTGTCCTTTTCTGCAAGCTTTCGGGATCAAAGTCCCTTCATCAGGCTCTGGGAAAAGTGTAGATGGTACAAGATAGTAAAAAGTCACCAAAAGTAGGAAATAAACTTCATTTTTGCACAGAGGGAGCTGAATATGGAAGTCTGTCCCTCTGGGTCCATTAATGTGTCTTTGTGAGCTGTGTTGAGTAGCTCTTTGATGTATTGATCAGGTAGGATTCCCTCCCTAGAGGTGTCAGATGACAGGCAGGGAGGCAAAAAAACTTCCTTCTTGTTCTGCAATTAAGTTTAAAATCCAAAATTGGCTAAAATTCGGCATCTTCCATGTTTCAGGGGTGTACTTGGTAGCCGTGTTGGTCTGAGACAAAAATATTTATAAAAACTAGAACTCTTGGTTCCAAAATGATACTTTTTATTAGACCCACTGGATATTGAGAAACCCAGAATCAATATTAGTTTCTCAATATACTCAATATTCTCAATATACTCAATATTAGACCCACTGATATTGAGAAACTCAAGCAAATACAGAAAAAGAGAGGAGATCCTTATGTTGAACTAATTAAATGTGTTTGATACATGGAAAAATATTTGCAATGCCTTTAAATTTATGACTAGGATGACATTTTTTATAGGTATGACCACATAACTCATTTTAGAAGTAGTCCTATAATCATTGGGAAACCAATTAATGAGTATGAAGGAATCATTCTTTTAAGAAAGGATAAAGAAGGAAGGTAAATGTTTACATGACAGCTGCATCATACTATACCAGTGTGTTCTTACAGCATCAACCTTAGCCTTAGCCACTGATCCAAAATGTTAATGTAATTCTGGTATATGCTACCATTGCCATTTTCAAACCAATCTTAATGCATTACTAAAATTATCATGACCTTGTTTTTCTCAGGCACTTTATAGTTTATTTGGTCTTAACACTAAAATATAAAATTGCTTGGGAATTCCCTCAAATTTTGTTTCTGTTGTTTGTAGCCATTCCATCAAACTCTAGCTTCTAAAATCCTGCATTTTTTTCACGTGAAGTTGCAGATGCAGATGCCACTGTTAAAAATCTAGAAAAGGAAACAGATCGGCTCCTGGATAAGCTCAAGCCAATCAAAGAACTCCAGGATAACTTGGGGAAAAACATCTCTCAGATAAAAGAACTGATAAATCAAGCTCGGAAGCAGGCCAATTCTGTAAGCCCTTTTTTCTCAGTAATTCTAGGTAGTGGGTGGGTAGGATGTTTTTCTAGTTTGCATTTTTTCCGGGAAGAGAATCCTTTTCAGTTTCAGATGTGTATATTGAAGATTACAATATAAATACTTATATAGACAGAACCTAGGATATTAGATATCTGATGATTTTCTACCTCTGATGGTGTTATACCATGGCTCTATCAAATGCAATATATTTTCCGAAATGTAGCACTATGGAAAGATTATCATTTAAGTGGTGTTGTAGATAAAAGTACAGCAAGAGGTCAGTGAAGGGGGAAATATCCATCACTAGATATTTGTGCAAAAACTTAAAAATGTAGAGATCACAAGCTTGGTTTTATTTACCAAGCACAGATATCCATAACCTGATTTTTCTGAAAGTTCCATTACTCGTGAAAAATATGGTCTTAATAGCATCATGTCTGGTTTTTGGTCCCAGACTGAGCCATCTCAAACTCACTGAAAATGCTAAGTGTACTTGCTTTTCCATTTTCTTGATTTTCTTCAACTGGTGACAATTGAATAGACCCTTGTGCTCAGGATAAGAGTGTATTTTCTAGCATGATTACTAAGTCCCAAGCCTTTCTCCCTGATGTAATTATGTTTTTAAACTCAGGGATCAGCTAGTAATACTAAACTTATTTGGTTTGTGACCTACAACAATCAGGAACACCGTACAGAAAATCCTAAGAGATGAAAGTTCAATAAGTCTCCTGTATAATTCATATGAAACCCAGATATGGGAGGACAAATGGCTGAAAGGAATGTACACATAATAACAGAGCTGTGACACGTTTGTTCTTTGAACCACCTTGATAAAAACCTATTTCAGATTCTCATGGAAGTATAGATAAGGCAAAGAGGCAGGTTAACAAATACTAATACTTTTCACCTATGTAGCACCTTTTATCCAAACATTTCAGAGCACTTTGCCTCCTAACACCTCTTGGGAACAGGTAAGTACATTGTTTTTACCCCTGGGATGCTACAAGATAAGGAAGTTAAATGTCTTGTCCAGTCATGTAGGGACAGAGATAACCATACACTCTTGAGGCAAACAGAAAATGAAGTTGTCTTAATCTTAGTGTGGCATAAATGTGACAAAAGTTCTAGGGCCAGTTCTTATTCCATCTATTAGGCATCTAAATCCCTGAAAAACCACTAGTGGAAAAGAGAGTTCTCCTCACCACTTTTTTTCAACTTAGTTTTAACACTAAGATGAAGACATATATCAAAAGATAAATGCATGAAAGTATGAAAGGTCTTTTAGGGACTGTAGAGGGTGGAATAAAATTGCGCTCATGCTGCATACAAATGAGCAGGGGTGTGTGGTCTGTCGTGCTACAAACTGCATGTGGAGAATGTTAAGATTTGGACATGCAAATTTGCAGCATAGTGGCAAAATTTGCTACCGGGATTTCCCAGTAGAAAAAGAAAAAAAAAGAAATGCCAGAAAAAAGTGGTGCAATGTATGCAAAAAAAAAAAGTGCGCACTGGCACAAATGGAGGCTGGGCTGTCCAGAGCAATGGTCTGGCTGCTGGAACAGCTTCCATTTGCCCCTGTTGCTCCAGTATGCCACCAGGACACAAAGTAAGACTTCTGGGGCCAGCACAGGTGCAGGCTCCAGCCTCCAGCTCTCCCTGCCTCCAGCTCTCCCTGCCAGAAGGGCAGGATCTGGACAATGGAGTTTGCCCGTTGTGGGACAATTTGTCCTGCAATGAAGCGCGCATACAGGGGCGTGTGCTGAGGCAAGTTGTGTTGCTACAAGTGCATGCCCCTGATCACCTGGATGCTACCTAGGTGTGTAGTAGGTGGAATAGGCTATAACCCTTAGCACCCTTCAAAAAAAATTCCATTCAAAAAAACTTCAAACACACAGTAGAAGCCAGGGTAGAACTCATTTGTACCTCGGTCATTCACAGCATGCTTAATTTGCAGCAGATTGTTAAACTAAGAACAAGCTGCTGAGCTGCTTGCTGTGGCTTTTACTTCAAAGGGTGCTGTTTTCCTGATCAGCTGGAATTTATCAGTGATCCCATGCAGTTGATCAGAGAAGTGGTACCCTTTTAAATAAAAGCCAGCCCGAACAGATGGAACATCTCAACAGTCCTGTGTGGCAGTTTACTAGATGTCTGTATGTCCCTGGCTATTTTGCAAACCCTCATCTTCACGGAAATGTAAGGAACCTAACTCACTCTGAAGTACCTGGATTCTACCATACAGACCTCTCCTGGTCCTTTCTGTTTCCCCCAGTGGACACTAAGTCACTGATTCCCTCAGTTCTCCAAGTCTGAACTTCCAGGTCTTAAGATCCTGATTCAGCAAAATATTTCCACTTGCAGCAATAAGGTAAATGAGACTCACTTACACACTGAAAATTATGCAGATGATGAATAATTTTAAATGTCAGGGCTTTAATGCATTTCTGAATCCCACAAAATAAACCTAACTTGGAGAAAGAAACTATCAATGTCATTGCTAGTTTTGGGTACCAAGAATCTAGAAAATAGTTAAATGGTCCAGTTAATTACATGGAATTTCTGTTTGCATCTATTCCATTTGCCCTAATGCCCTAGTGAGTTCATTCCAATTACCAATGCTACACAGACCTCATAATCATCATTATTAGATCATTATTTTTATGACTTACTGCAGATTTCTTAAAATAGACCTAGCAACAGAAAAAGGGGCAGGATAAAAATTTCAGCACAGCTCAATGAAAAGGAAACTTGGAACACACAATGGTGAAGAACACCTCCATTGGGGACCATTTTGTAACACCATGAAATCATAAAAACAATTATTTGTAAAAAGAATGTTTAAATAAACCAACCATACAGGTCAAATCACAGATACTAAAGGCAGAAGAAGGAAGGTTACCTAGTCCATCCCCAGCAATATGCTAGGACCTAGGTTATACTTCTGATTCCTTTCTATGGCTAACTCTTTGATATCTCTGTTACCTGAACCTCCATAGTAGCCCTTTACAGATATTTATGTATTCTAGTAATTTTTATATGAAATAAATATTCTCCTGATGTGCAGACTATGGGCCAGGAAGGCAGGATAACAGGCCAAGAGAGGCCTATATGTATCATCGCTCATTATAAAAATCTATTCCACAAGAGAAGGCAATTTCAGTCTCCCATACACCTTGTGCAAGCAGCTCTGACTAGTCCTCAGAGATGTGAAACAAAAATGAGACAGTATACTCTTTTTGCAGTTCTTCTAAAGCCTCTATTTTTGTTCTCTCTGGAATAATGAGCTGTAACCTGAATTCTCTGTGCTGTGTTTTTTATAAGATCAAAGTCTCTGTGTCTTCTGGAGGTGACTGTATACGCACATACAGACCAGAAATAAAGAAAGGAAGCTACAACACTGTTATTGTCAATGTGAAGACAGCAGTTGCCGACAACCTCCTTTTTTATCTTGGAAGTGCCAAATTTGTAAGTCTGGTTCTCAGTTTTCTCTTATTGGAGTTTCTCGATCAAACAGGATCTCTGGCAAACAAAGATGACAAGAATGTTTTCCATTAGAGACTTTAAAGGAATGGCAGAGGACCCAAGAGTTTACCTGGATAACTAGATATATACTGTTACTCACAGAAGAAACAAACAAAAAAAAAGCTTTAATTAGCTTAGAATTAACACAAGTGGCAGATATTTTGGTGTTTATCTAGGGATCCAATCTGAGACTCTTACATGGACTGCATTAAAACTGTAAAATCAGTAATAGTACAACTGGGATGATTTTTCATTTGTTTGTTTCTCATCCATTTTCCCTTGGGAATGAAGTAGCTAATCATCTTGGATCTGTCAAAGATCCTACTTACCATGACTTCCAGTCAAGCCCATAATAACTTCAGGAATGGTAGTGATGAATGATTCAGTTTTCCACAAGCCCTCCAGCAGACAGACTTCTCAAGCCATCAATAATAATTCAGGAAATGGGAGAAAGTGTTCCTTTCCAAACACTCTAAGCAATGTATTTTATTTTTCTGCTATAAAAGGAAGAGTCTGGATGGTAATATGTATTAACCTATGGAACACTGGCATTTTTCAGTACAATACTGCCAGCCAAATGGATGCTTTCTAAATAATATTGTTTATGTTTAAAACTGTCTCTAAGCAGCTATAATATTGCTGTTAACAGCTTCTCCAATGAACCAGCAATACACAGCTACCTAGAACAAGATACATGGTAAAGAACCACTGGATAATGGAAGGGATGAGGGAGATTCCTGGTCTCTCATGGGACCTGAAAGAGTAATACATCCAAAAAGAGAACTAATAAGAGGGAGCCAGACTTCTGTAGCCTAGTAATGACTGCACTCCCTTGGTGGTCAGGAACAGAAGAGAGAGAAGTCCTGCATTATGGTCCCTATTCCCAGCAGTTTATGCTTTTTATCCAATGACTTTTTAATGCAGAATTCATGGGAGTTACTATACAAAATTTGCTATGTGAACATGGGTCCCTGAGGCGCCATAAGTTTACTTATGATCTTCAAAAGTGTGGAAGATCTTCACAAATTATATTTTTATAACGTTTAAAGCAATTCACTGATTCCCTTTATTTTAATTCTTTGTATGCTAGACTGACTTCTTGGCCATAGAGATGCGTAAAGGCAAGGTGAACTTCTTGTGGGATGTGGGTTCTGGCGTTGGACGAGTTGAGTATCCAGATCTGACCATAGATGATGGCTTTTGGTACCGAATTGAAGCCTCTAGGTAAGCTTTGTATGCTTTGGCTAGTATAGAAAGAAATGATACAACACAGCAAGTTCTGTTGCTAATCCTCTGTTTTTGTATTCACATTCCTTAAGAAATAAGTACAGCATTTGTACAAGGATAGTTTTTTAAAATCAATGTCATTATAACAATGATAAATGCAGTCCAGCTTAACAGAAACTTTTGAGCTTGTGTCCAACAGTCTGCTATCAGGAAGCTTCTAATCAGTGGCATTCTAAAGGTGCGGGTACTCTCTCTGTTGCTGAGATATACTACGGATGTGCAATATCCATTATCTCCTTCTATCAGCATTTCACCACCCTTCTCCCTTCACTCTATAGTCTCCTTGCCTATCACTCTCACCAGGGCACCCTCAACTAGCTCCCCTTTCAGTACATCCTCATATTCAAGGTTCCTAACATCATCTTCAGGGCTGAGATTCACAGAGGAATTTAGGTATCTAAATCCAAGACAGCAAGTTATAGAAACCCCACCTATCTTCCATTTGTGCCTAAACTTTCACCAGAAAGCCTAACTAGAGACCTAAAGATTAGCTCCTTTTCATTCCCAGAGGTACTTTTCGCTTGACTTATCTGAATGTTTAGGCATTTATTACCTGCCTGCGGCAATTTAGGATTCACAAACCAGGCTAAAGGCTCCTGAGAGACCCAGTCCAGTATGGTGTTGAGACAATGATTAACAGCATTGAGCTGAGTACTCACAGCCAGGGGAGAATCCATCGCAAGGGTGAGAAGAGTACATTAGTCCACACTCCACCATTGTGGCTGTCCCTACCTGACCAGGGCACAGAAATAGCCCCAGAGTCATCCTTTTCCTGCCTGGCTGTGGGCTGCAGCTGTCCAGGGTGCTGGGCTCAGCAGGGGGCAGCAGTGGTTGGTGGGTTCCCTCTTTTTGCGCAGACTACTCTTCCACTGCATGTCCTACTGGCAAGGAACAGGTTTTATAAAGAGGAACCCTCCTTTAACTACTGCTGCTGTCCTCAGCTGAGCTCAACATCCCACACAGCTGTGCTTTGCAGCCCCCAGCTCAGATGGGGACAGTGGCAACGGGAAGTTCCCCCTTCAAGTGTCTGATCCCCGCCCAACTCCCCTTAGGCCCCTGCCTGCCCTGGGCATCCTTTCCCCCATTACCTCGTGGTCCAAGGGGTAATGTGCTTCACCCCCTTAGCCACCGTGGATGTTACCAGCCTATATACCAACATCCCACATGAGGATGGCATCCAAGCCTGCCTTACATATCTACAGGGACAAGATTACAACTCAGAATACAGACCCAAAGATATTACTGACCTTATACACTTCATCCTCACGCACAACCATTTCACTTTTAATAATCAACACTTCCTCCAGATGATGGGAACAGCTAAGGGCACCAAAATGGCCCCACAGTATGCCAACCTTTTTATGAGCCACCTGGAAGAAGACTTCCTCAAGAACTGCACCATCAAACCCTTGCTATACTTAAGAT